CTGAGGGCCAGGTGAGGGGCGCCGCTCCACGGCCGCTGCAGCTCCAGCAGGCACAGCCCTGGAAGGGTTTTCAAAAGTTCCCAGGCAACTTCCTTCGTTTTCCCTCCACGTGCGGAATCACTGGATGTGCACTGAGGCGTGTGCGGATGTGCACCCCCAGGGGAGACTCCAGGCCTAGCTGAACACCCTGCTAAATCGGCTGGGCGCCCTCTGAATCTCACAAGTGCCCAGATTACGGGGAACTCGGTTCCCAGGCCTGTATGTTCCTTTAGGCACCGAATCACAGTCAACATGTGGGCCTAGGTGAATCGCCCAGGACCACACAGAAAACTGCAGAGGTAAGACCAGATCTTCTGGGTCCCAGGTGAGTGACCTCCACCCCGGACCAGCATGCTGGGTTAGCCAGTTACCATTCGCCTTACCAGCATGCTTAGTGGAGTAGTTGGTTAACTGGTGCCTACCCTGAGCAGCCCCCCACCTGTGGCACGCTGGGATGGGTCTGGCCTGGCCTGGCCTGGCCGGAGCAGTTTGCTCCCAGCACAGCTGGGCCCACCGCTGGCAGGTAGGCGTTCCAGTCTAGGGATGTAAAATCCCAGTTAATCAATTAAACATATGGTTTAACTGGTTAACCGATTAAGTGGGGTCCTGGGCAGGGGACTGCTCCATCCGAACTGGGGGGGGACCAGCCCATGCTCCCAGGTACAAGCATCGCCCTGGAGTAGCCCCTCACCCAGAGCTCTCTGCGGTGGACCCTGCCTGGCTGGAGCAGCCCCTGCCCTTGGGGGGCCGGTTAAGCATATCGTTTAACTGGTTAACGTTTTTAACAGGATTTTACATCCCTACTCTGGCCCGCCCTTTCTCTCATCTGGAATCTCAGCTCAAATGGGGACAGATCAACGCTGAAAGCAACTCAAAGGTGGCAGGGGACTCAGACAACACCACCCCCCCCGCCACACGTTATGCTGAGGTTAAGACAATTTGGGAGAACACGGAGGCTTAGGGGCTGATTGCCTTTAAATGGGGCATGCTTTCTTGGCTATATTTAGCCTGCCTAATGCGCACCCCTGGCTTGACCTACATTTGTCATGCACCGTCACGGCAAAGAACACAACGCCACGCAGCCCGTGTACTTCGCGAACGGCAAATGGGCTATGCGCTCCAACTAGCTCTGTTTTGACGTGGCCAGGGCACGGAGTGGCACCCAAGCCGGTGGATTCTAATCCAGGCGTGGCGGCTGACGTGCTGCATGACTTGGATGGCGTCGTGGCTCTTGGCCTCAAGTTCTCGCAACCGTGAACTAGAGAGATGGTTGCTGGGTTGCTTAACACGCCTTGCTGGTGTGTCTACACTTACAACGCTACAGCAGAGACATCGTCCCGTCACACTTGCAACCCCCCCATCCAAGAGGCAGTAGCTAGGGGGTCACACGCTGACAGAAGAACTCTTCCATCCACCCAGGGCTGTCTGCAGGGGGTGGGAGGTGAGCGTAACCACACTTGGATTTTTAACACCCTCCCTGACGGGTGACTTACACCAGCGTAATTTTCGAGCACAGCTCAGCCTGACCCAGGCCATAGGACTTCCCTGAATTCTTTCCCATCGACCTAAAGCAAATCTTTTAGAAACACCTGGCCTCTTAACAAGCCACCCTGCCCCAGAGAGAATAAAAAGCCATTGTGTTTTGAAACAATGGAAGGAGCACAAGGAACCAGGTCTCATTAATGCTAACGCCCCTTCTCCTCCTCAGCATATCTGCTGGGCAACTGTAAACCTCAGCTCACTGTGCGGGGGGAGGGGGGAGCTGCTCATGTTTCCATTAAAACCCCAGTTCCGGGAGCCACAAGATTGTCAGAAATGACTGACCACCCCTCCCAGCTCCTGTCAAAAACAGGAAAGAAACAGGGATTCCTAGAAACGCTCGAAAAGCAGGCGGCCTGCAGGCAGCACCCAACTTCTTTCCCGAGTTACGCCAGTCCCAGGGTTATGCGTGTGTGTGTGGGGGGGGGTGGGGGTTGTGTGTGTGTGATACAATCAGCCTGAGTTCTCCATTGACAATGTGACATTTTCTGACCCAGGTGGACTTTTAGCCACAGTAACAGTAGAAGAGAACTACCCCCTCTCCCCCACTCCTTGTGGTGTGGCTCTGGGATAGGGTGTCCCAGCCTTTTCTGCTGAGCAATAAAAACCAGTCGGGCAGCTTGCGAAGTGCCAAGACCTGGCTCTGGAGGGGAGAACGCAGCAGCCTGAGGGACACAAGCCGAGGGGTCAATTCCTTTGCTAGAACTAGGGCCAAGGGCTGTATCCGGGAGGCCACAGCAGGTGCTTAGAAAGAGGCCAGCTATTAAAGAGGATCCCTAGACCAGTTCACTGACAATGGGAGGCAATGGGGGCGGTTGGCGAGCACACAGGGCTCGGGGCAGGACTCCGCTCTGTC